TACACTGACTCACGCTGCTGCTCACTCACACATCATACACTGACTCACACATCATGCGCTGACTCACTCACACATTATACACTGGGAGTGTCGTGCTGCCAGCTATGGCTGCAGTTTTTTGTCGTACGTGTTATGTATATCGTTTATTGTTCAATTTAAAATCACTGTTCCTATGATTACTGTTGTTACATTGTTTTTATAGCTTTATTTTGGTGATTCGAAAACATAGTTAATCTAAATTGTCTTATGATTGTTGTTGTTGGCTTGCACCACATAAATTTTTGCACACAGCGTTTTAATACGTTTTTTTGTGTGGAATATTTGCTGGTTTATTCCAGGATGTTTCTGTTACGCGTTGTCGCTTTAAGATGTTCTGTGTTCAAATTGTGTTTGTTGCGGTTGCACCCGACTTAAGAGCCGCATGGCTCACAGGGCTATACCTAATAAATGAAACTTGAAAAACTTGAAACTTGACTTCACTCGAACCACATCTGGGGTCAGAGATTCCATTCCCCCTCACCGCATCCGATAAAATGTAACGTAAAGCAGCGGTCAGTGTGCGCGCCCCCTGTCAACTACATCATTCCAATCTGTCACTCTTTATGTATAAAGCTTATATCAAGCGCCTTGAGTGAAGGCGCCCTAAAAATGATCAGCTATAATCAATCCACTGCTGGATGAAGGACTCAACTCACCGCCACCTCTCGATGCGACAATCCACTGCTCTACACACGAGAGCTGAACTAATTGCTCCATCTCCCCGATCGACGTCCTCTCGGAACGACTGGAGGAACGTCAACCCTGGAGATGGAGCTTACCTCCTGGTCGAGAAGGAACGATACCTTTTAAAATTGTGAAATGTATCGTACTGTATCTATATTAAAGTCCCATTCACGACCTTGCCAGTACAACAAATAACAAAATAAGACAATACGCCTCCACATCTCTCAGTTTATGTGCCATGAAGAAGGGCCAATGCCCGAAACGTCACCAATTACATTTTTTATTTTGTTAATTGTGATTTTGCACCCACTGGCCAAAGTAGCAGCAGAAGTAGCTAATTTATGAACTGAGATGTAGTAATGCGTGGGTTTCCTAGAGGTGTTGCCGCTCGCCTCTGCTTATTCGTCTTTGCGTCTCCCATCAGAAGTAATATATGCATCGAGATGTATATACTGCATCGATAATGTGTAATGTTTATTCGAATTAAAGTTGTTAGCTGGAATTCGGTAGACGCTTCCGGAGGAGGCAGATTGGGCCCAAAAAAACTGGCTCCCGCCAAAACCAAAACTTTAGCACCGCCTTCCGCATCCCCATTGGTCCGCTCGCCGCACGTGACCACGAGCAGGTGGACGAGTCCATCTTCGGCTCGTTAGTAGGTGGGGAGCAAGGGAAGTTTATAAATAATTAAATCAAGTCGCGTTCACAATCGCGCATCGCTGTTTCGTGTACGGTTCGCGCTCTGCATTCGCAACAAATTTGAAGTAATTATTATTTTCCTTTCAATGATTTGCGATTACAAAAAAAGCTTTATAAACGTTCATATTATTTGTACGAACTGGAATCTTAGTGGTAATATTCGGGGGCGGGGGGGGACTATCCCAACCCCCACCACCCCCTCCCCGTTTCCTGACGGAGTGGACTACGCGAGGGGAGGGGCAGTGGGGAAGGGGGCGAGGCCAGGAGCGCTCGGGCAGAGCGGAGTGGGAGACCGGGCGGGGAGTGCTCAACCCGGGAACCACGGGGACCTTGGAACCACGGGGACCTGGGACCACGGGCTCCGGAGATCTGGGGACTACAAGCTCCGGGGACCTGGGACCACGAGCTCCGGGGACCTGGGACCACGGGCTCCGGAGATCTGGGACCACGGGCTCCGGAGATCTGGGGACTACGAACTCTGGGGACTACAAGCTCCGGGGACCTGGGACCAGGAGCTCCGGGGACCTGGTGACTACGAGCTCCTGGGGCCACGAACTCCGGGGATCTGGGGGATACGAGCTCCTTGGACCTGGGACGCCGAGCTTCGGGGAACTGGGACCACGAGCTCCTTGGCTCTGGGGCCACGAGGACCTGGAGACCACGAGGACCTGGAGACCACGAGCTCCTGAGAACCACGAGCTCCGGAGAACCACGAGCTCCGGGGAGCTGGGACCACGAGGACCACAGGGACTTGGGACCTCGAGCATCGGGAACCTTAGCCCACGAGTTCTGGCGACCTGGGACCACGAGGCATTGGGTCCAGAAGGAGCCTGGGACTTGAGATCTGGGACCGCGGGTGCTTGCGAGACCACGAGGATCTGGGTACACGGGTGCCTGGCACAACGACAAGTTGGGACCAAGAGGACGTGGGACCACGAGGGTCACGGGGGATTACAAAGGCTTGCGGACTGTGTAAGACCTGTGACGGAAAAAGAGTTGAGACGACTGTGGGTTCTGATCGCTACGAGGACCAGGGTCTGAAATATATCGGGTCACGGCCCACTGGACCAAAGAGATTGTGGACTGAACAACTTGGGACCCTCATGTCGACATGAACCGGAAGATCTGGAAATTCTGGAGAGCAAGTTACTGGCACGTCATTTACTAATAACTTAGAAACTTGTAATACATGTTGGAAATTTTGACTTTTGAAGACGCAAACGACTTTGGAGCTATAGGAAGGACTTGGACAGCTGGCTCGTGAAGTCCCAGACACCCTGGCAAACCTAAAGAGCTCGGATCCTTGACGGCGTGAAGACCTAACTCATCAGGATTAACGCGATGCCAATTATCTTCCCAGTAAATCCTCACCGAGTCTCAAGACTTCATTCGATGAGGCTCCTGCCACGTTGAGATGTTTGGCCAATCCCACGAACGATTTGGGATTCGTGTGGGAGAAAATCCACCACCCACGAGGAGGTGACAACGGTTGGCACGGGTATATTCAATAATCCATTGCTTGACTGTCCATCTCCTGGGCATCTCCTGGCCATCTTGCAACCGAAGAGCCGAAGGACATTCAAATAGCATCGGGAACTATGGAACTAAAAGACCAGGAACCTTGAAGACTTGGTGACCGAAAAGAAGAGAGAATTGAAAGACCTGCACTATTGAGGAGCGTGGTATTGAAAGACCAAGTACTTTTTTTTTAGATCCGTACAACTGGAAAGGCGAAAGAGGATTCGTTACGTGAATTTCCCAGAATCTGGGACCCCTTTGATGGCTTGAGGGCCCCAAAATCGCCGGACGACTTTAGGACCAAAAGCAACGTCTGGTACCTTTTGAGGAACCAGGTTGGAAGCAACCAGGGGATGATGCGGGGTTCGGCGGGCAAGGGAATGCCGGGATTCCCGGGACCCCGGCTGCTGGTGGCGGGGTTCATCTTGGCGCGACTCACGGCGTGTGAGTTGCCCTCAGCCGCTGCAGTCCACGCACACCAAAGATAAAAACAAAGATCCCCCGTGTAGCCTCAACATACTGTAGTGGCAAGTGCTGTTAGCGAGCACCTATGAAGGCCGGAACGGTACACGAGGGGGTGGGTGGCCAGCACCACGCCCGACCGACTTTGTCTCCCCAGTGGCGATGTTTACACACCGCAGCAGGTACTCATTTGAGGCTGAGTCGACCTAGGGGAGGCCCAGGACGGGTTCAGATAATCGTCACCGGCGTTGGCCGTGAGCGGGAACCGAACCCACATCGCTCTCTACACTATGTGATGATGATATTGGTGATGGTTTTCACCGCTCTATTACTGTTCACTTTGAATGCTGTAGCAACGTTTAGGGCTCGTGGTGCGGTTGCGGCTGGGCTGTTGAGGCGGGAAGTTGTGGTGTGGTGTGGGGGGGGTTGTGGCGCAGATTTGTTCTGAGTTGTGGCGTGAGCGTGTAGGTCCCATGGTTGAGTTGCGAGGCCAGGCTCATCATGTTGGTGCTTTATTACGCCAGTTTAGGGCCCATCCAATTGAGTAGGTACGCAAAAACCTGTCAAAACTTGACCCGTCCCCCCCTCGCTGTACGCACGCGGACTTTTTACACCCCCCGAATCCTATAGAACGGCCGATATTTAATCCACGCAGAAACGATTAATAATAATATTCACGTATTTAAGCAAACAGATAGTCCAGCGCCGGACTATCTAACTAATTTGAAGGCCAATGTGGACAAATTATTATCGAGGATTCACCCCCCCCCGTTTCCTATGCGTACACTGCCAGTAGACACCCCCCCCCCATACACAAGGGAACGCGTTTGGGGTAGCCCCCCTCCATCCGTGTGGACTCGATGGATGACCCCGTACCCAGGGGCTTGCTGCTGCTCCTGCTGTGCAGTTCTATTGGAGGTGCCATTGGTAGGGCTCGTGGTGGTGCTTTGCTGGTCGTGGTGTTGAGGCAGAAGTTGCGTGGTTGTGCTGTGGTGGTTGTGGTGTTCAGGCTCGGGTGTGCGACGTTGTTGTGCCTTACTGGTGAAGTGTGTGTTAATGGCTTCGTGTTAATGTTGCGGTGCGGTTGTAGTGTTCAGTCTGGGGTTGGTGTTGACCAAGGTTGTGTGGATGCGAGGGTGTTTGTGGCTGTGTGTGGCTATGCGGCTGTGTGTGTGGCTGTAGAGTGTTTTTTTACTCTGTTTATATGGCAGTGTTGTGTGTTTTTGTTTACGTGTGGTTGTGTGTGTGGCTGTAGGGTGTGTTTTTGGCTGTGTGTGTAGCTGTGGCTGTGTGTTGCTGTGGGGAGCGGTAATGTAGCGGTTAGCGCACTGCGCTATGAATCCGGCGATCCGAGTTAGATTCCCGCTCACGGGCAACAACGGTGACGATTGTATTATTTTGACCGGTCCTGGGCCTCCCCTAAGTCGACTCAACCTTAAACAAGTACCTGATGCGGTGTGCAAACATCGCCACTAGGGAGACAAAGGCTGTCGGCGTGGTGCTGGCCACCCACCCCCTCGTGTACTGTTCCGGTCTTCATAGGTGCTCACTAACAACACTTGCCCCAACATTTAAGGCTATACGGGGATTTTTTGTGGCTGTGTGTGGGTGTTTGTGTCTTAACAGAAGTCTGCGATGTTGTTTGGTGTGGTGATTCACACGCTGTGGTCTGCATCCGACGACCTGATATCAAAACAGCTTCTGCTCTTCCTTTAAGTCGTCTCGGCCTCAAATGAGAACCTGGTGCGTGGTAACCATCAGCACTGGGGAGACAAAGACGGCCGGGCGTGGTTCTGACCACACGACTCTACACGTGGGCAGTGCCAGCCTTAGGTGCTCGCTAATTCTCACACTGTGAAGCGCCACGGGGAATGGGATCTTTGTGTGCGTGTGAGACTGTGCTCACTTTCCCCAACAGTTTGTTAAGGCTATACGGGGGGGGGGGTCTTTGCCTTTGTAAGTGACGAGTGGTGGTGCAGTGGTTAGCACACTCCTCCACGAACCTGGCGCGCGAGTTCGATTCCTGCACACGACCATGAATAGTCGTGAGCGAATATTTGAACCGGTCCTGGACCCCTCTCCCCTAGCCATAAAATGAGTACCTGGCGCGGTGTGTACACAATACTGGGGGGGGGCAGAGTCGGCCGGACGTGGTTTTGACCATCCTATTTTCCGTACCGGCATTAATATGTGCTCGCAAGCAGGACTTGCCCCAACAGTCTGTTTAAAGGCTATCTGGAGGGGAAAAACATTTTTGCCTCCTGTGTCCAAAGTCTGCGGGCAGCAATGATTTTAAGGGACTAAGCTGTGAACCCGGTGACGCGTGACATTAATTAAACATCGTCCCTGTGCTCGCGAGCATCCAGGACCTTAGCTGTGGATGGGCTGGCCCGGGTAAAGCTGCGTGGCCGCGAATCGGAGGCATTCCCTGTTCACTATAGTAGTGGCGACAGGGATGTCCTCTGCCACCCTAAGGATATACTGAATGGGCTTTGCGATGCTGACGTCCGTCGGTTCAGTCCCCCGGCGAGGCAGTTGAAACGATGGCGAAAGTTTAAGTTTCCCACACCGCCTGCGTCCACTCGGCAGGTGGGTGCGCCACAGATGGTGCGGTGGGGTAAAGTGTGGGAACTCCCACATCTTCTAAGACGTCTGTCTTAGAAGATGTGGGAACTCCCACATCTTCTAAGACGTCTGTCTTAGAAGATATGAGAACTCTCACATCTTCTAAGACGTCTGTCTTAGAAGATGTGGGAGAGGTTGGACAAACTACCTTCTAGTCCAGTGTTCTTCATTGCAAAGCCCGCGGGCCACTGATGGCCTTTAGTGCGGCCGCCGACAATACACAACACGTGACAACACCCCCCTCCCCATCATCATCATGCTGCTGTCAAATCCCCAATGGTTCCAAATATGTCGTGGCCCTCGCACTGATGATGCCTTATCGGCGAAAGTGATCCCCCCCCCTCGGAAAATTAGTGAAGAACAATGCTGTAGAAGGGGGTTCTCTCTCTAGAGCTTCCTCTACCAGCAGTGGCGTGTGAACAAGCAGTTGCATGGGTTCCTCCAGATAATAAGACACAATGAGGATGATCAATGCCCTGGCGCTGTCAAGGGATGGGCCCCCCCCCAATGGTTAACTCGTGCTATCGGTGTGTGCTGATCACAAGTTAATTGTTCGCTCCCTCTGAGAAGGAAGGAGTGAGCGGCTGCTAAATCCGGGGAGCGTGGCGTGAAGAGGTGGGACGTCATTATCGTCGTCGGCTCCACAAAAGAAAAAAAACCCAAACACCTCCAGTGGGTTCCCTTTTTCATCTCCCCAGCCGCTCAGCTCCCCCCATTCAGTTGTGGCATCAGCGCAGCCTTAAACGGGTAACGTGGTGTGGTTGTATGGTAAACTTCACCACTGCGGGAGACGAAGGTGGCCTGGCGTGGTGCTGGTCACCCTACCCCCTCGTGTGCCGTTCTCGGCCTTGTTAAGTGCTCACGAACAGCACTTGCTCCCAACATCCTGTGATGGGCTATACGGGGGCTCTTTGTCTTTTGTGTGTGTGGCTATATGACTGTGTGGCTGAGATGTTTAATAACAGCACTTGCCTCAATAGCCATTGGAGGATCCTCGGGGAACTTTATCTTTGTGTGCGAGTGTTTGGGACTATATATGTTTTTGTGACTGTGTGTGATTGTGTGTGACTGGCTGTGTGTGTAAAACGCTATACGCATAGCTGTGTGTGGCTGACTGTGCATATGTGATAGTGTGGCTGTGTGTATGTCTATTATCTGTTTGTATGAATATGTGTGTGAGAGGGACCGCGTGACTGTCTTTGTGACTATGTGGCTGTGCGTGTGAGACAACAAGTGTGTCTTTTGTCTGTGTGTAGGTAGATGTCTGTGTGTGTGGGGTGTGGATAGTGCAACGGTTAGCATGCTTTGCAGCGAACCCGGCGACCCGACTTCGATTCCCGCTCACGGCCAACACCAGTGACGATTATATGAATCAGTCCTGGGCCTCCCCTAGGTCGACTTAGCCTCAAATAAGTACCTGGTGTGTTGTGTAAACATTGCTACTGGGGAGACAAAGGCGGCTGGGCATAATGCCGTGCCAGTCTTAATAGGTGCTCGCTAACAGCACTTGCCCCAACAGTCTGTTCAGGCTATACGACAGGGGATCTTTGTGTGTCTGTGTACCAGTCGTTAGCTCAACGCGCTACTAATTCCTGCTCTCAGGCAACATCGGTGACAAATATCTAAACTGTAGCTGGGACCTCCGCTCGGTCAACTCGGCCTTAAATGAATGCCTGGCACGATGCGTATACATCAGCACTTGGGAAGAAACGAAGGTGAGACAACGAGCGCAGCCAGCCGTGGTGCCAGCCGTACGTTCCCCTCGTGTGCCGTGCCGGCCCTCAGAGGTGTTCGTGAACAGCACTCGTCCGTTAAAGGCCTCACAGGGGGAATCTTTGTCCGGGTCATGGAACAGCGCACGAGTGACCCGTTGCGAGAGCTGGCATCTGCGTCGCCACCATCCTGACATTTTAATCCATGTGGCGGAGCGCGTGTTTGGTTGAATTTCACCAATTATCCCTAACGAGCAGTAATTGATGACATGGGCAGCCACTTCCCGTTCTGCCCGGGAGAGGAGTATGTACTCATCAGGCAGCAGTGTGGCAAGGCGGTGGGGGCGGACTGCGTCTCGGCGTTGTTGCTTCCTGAATAGTCGTGCGGAGCAGAGGAACGCGTGGATTAGCGCAGCCCTTCCCTTTTCCTGCAGTACGCGTAGCGCTTGGGGCTACGCGCGATGTCGCCAGGGTGGTTTATGCGGTGTGGCCCGTGGGATTCCTCGTAAGCCGTGCTGCTCTGCATCCAATTTGCGGCATTGAATTCTGTACAGTAAGGCCACTGAGCTATGTACAGTGAGGGAAAAAAGTATTTGATCCCCTGCTGATTTTGTACGTTTGCCCACTGACAAAGAAATGATCAGTCTATAATTTTAATGGTAGGTTTGTTTGAACAGTGAGAGACAGAATAACAACAAAAAATCCAGAAAAACGCATGTCAGCAATGTTATTAATTGATTTGCATTTTAATGAGTGAAATAAGTATTTGACCCCTCTGCAAAACATGACTTAGTACTTGGTGGCAAAACCCTTGTTGGCAATCACAGAGGTCAGACGTTTCTTGTAGTTGGCCACCAGGTTTGCACACATCTCAGGAGGGATTTTGTCCCACTCCTCTTTGCAGATCTTCTCCAAGTTATTAAGGTTTCAGCTCCACAGATTTTCTATGGGATTAAGGTCTGGAGACTGGCTAGGCCACTCCAGGACCTTAATGTGCTTCTTCTTGAGCCACTCCTCTGTTGCCTTGGCCGTGTGTTTTGGGTCATTGTCATGCTGGAATACCCATCCACGACCCATTTTTCAATGCCCTGGTTGAGGGAAGGAGGTTCTCACCCAAGATTTGACGGTACATGGCCCCGTCCATCGTCCCTTTGATGCGGTGAAGTTGTCCTGTCCCCTGAGCAGAAAAACACCCCCAAAGCATAATGTTTCAACCTCCATGTTTGACGGTGGGGATGGAGTTCTTGAGGTCATTGGCAGCATTCCTCCTCCAAACACGGCGAGTTGAGTTGTTGCCAAAGAGCTACATTTTGGTCTCATTTGACCACAACACCAGTTGTCCTCTGAATCATTCAGATGTTCATTGGCAAACTTCAGACGGGCATGTATATGTGCTTTCTTGAGCAGGGAGACTTTGTGGGCGCTGCAGGATTTCAGTCCTTCACGGCGTAGTGTGTTACCAATTGTTTTCTTGGTGACTATGGTCCCAGCTGCCTTGAGATCATTGACAAGATCCTCCCGTGTAGTTCTGGGCTGATTCCTCACTGTTCTCATGATCATTGCAACTCCACGAAGTGAGATCTTGCATGGAGCCCCAGGCCGAGGGAGTTTGACAGTTCTTTTGTGTTTCTTCCATTTGCGAATAATCGCACCAACTGTTTGTCACCTTCTCACCAAGCTGCTTGGCAATGGTCTTGTAGCCCATTCCAGCCTTGTGTAGGTCTACAATCTTGTCCCTGACATCCTTGGAGAGCTCTTTGGTCTTGGCCATGGTGTGGAGAGTTTGGTATCTGCTTGTTACCTGTATAAAAGACACCTGGGAGCCAGAAATCTTTCTGTTTAAGAGGGGGTCAAATACTTATTTCCGACATTAAAATGCAAATCAATTTATAACATTTTTGACATGCGTTTTTCTGGATTTTTGTGTTGTTATTCTGTCTCTCACTGTTCAAATAAACCTACCATTAAAATTATAGACTGATCATTTCTTTGTCAATGGGCAAACGTACAAAATCAGCAGGGGATCAAATACTTTTTTCCCTCACTGTAGCTCTTCTTCAGAAGTGACCTGGCTACACATGATAACTTACTGAAGTGGCTTTTCACGTGCAAATGTATAGCACCCAAATACTCTAAACGCATGTTGTTTCTAAATGTGGAGAAACATCTACGCGATCATGTGGAGAACATGTGAACTCCAAATATACAGGCGTCAGGGTTGGGATTGAACCCATGACCTCCGGCATACCAGGCGAGGTAGTTAACATTTGGCCACCGGACTTGAAAAACACAGAATTTTGTCCAAGACAGAAAGGCACCCCACAAATAATCCTTGCGCTGTTTGTGTGCTAATCACGTCTGGTAGGGGATTGCACTACGGGCAAAACTTTTGGAAGCTTCCGGATTAGAAAACGTACTCGGGTTAAAAATTAGTCATTGTTCAGTGAGTGGGCTAGGGCAGAACGTGCTATGGTTACCCAGAGGTCAAAAGTAATGGCTTAGGGTTATCCAATGGATGGAAAGTGCCCGCGAGAACGTATTAACCAATGGAGATAGAGCGATGAAATCAGCTCGTGTGTAGGTGCCAGGTGGATCGCCACCATCACAGGATTCGTGAGGGATGGCGGCGGTGGTGGCTCTTGGGTGGAGGGAGGCCTTCATCTGGGAGTTTATTGCCAAAGCACCGTACAAAATAATTCATCTTGGCAACGTAGTAACGGGATTTTCACTTTACCCTGCAGCCATGAGAGGCGCTACCATTCAGCAGAGATTCACGAGGAACTGTGTTCTCTGACGATTCATCGCATTGGGAGGGGGGCGAGAATTCATTAAACTCCTAATGTCAGGAGAGTAAGGGTGTAATTGGCAATTCACTTTCATGATTAACTTAACATTGTGTGTGTGAATCCATAACGAATCTGGGCTGTGTGATGGGCAGTGCAGCGAGACCCATCGTTGTACTGTACTGCGGTTCGATGTTCCTGCTTCGACGCTCATGTCGCCTTTACCAGCAACCCTGCGCTCGCCAAAAAACTCGGCACGTTTGCCAACAAAACTAAACTTTTATTATTTATCAGGTGAAGCTCACAGTGCTATGAAGGATTAGGGCCGTTGCACGACACGACGGCTGCTGTATATTTTTTCCATCTAAGGCCACACACACGCAGTGGGGTTATTGACGAACGTGCCGAGCATTACCAGTGCTTCCCGTGCTTGTGCATGCCTGCCAACGCAGCAGCAGCATCGTCGCCAAATACAACGGCACCGACGAGCGCGGTGAAGTACGGTCAGGTTACCCCTAAATGACGACCCATGTGCGCGCTGTGCGGTGGGGGGGGCCCTCACCCGGCAGCGGACGGGCAAAGGGGGCGCGCTTGCCAAACGTCGCAGCGCAGGACCCTCGCGGGTGCGGGTCTTGGGACTAGACGCCGGGGCGCTGCCGAGTCAGTCCGGCGCTTCGTCGCCGCTGCTGCTGTTGGAGCGCACCCCCCCCCCCCCTTGCCGCACGTCTGTGTGACAAAAGGCAAGTGGGGCAGGTAAAATATGCAGGAGAGAGTTGCCGTGGAGATGAGACGTATGTAGAGTGGCAGCAGCAGTGCAGAGCTGACCTTGATTTTGATCTCTCGTTCGCGCACCGTCACACGCCTGAGCTGTGGGGCTGCTGCAGCTGGCGGTGGTGGTGCTGGTGGTATTGTTGCTTAATCGGTCCTGGGCGTCCCCTAGGTCGACTCAGTCTCAATGAGTACCTGGTGCAGTGTGTAAATATCGCCACTGGGGAGACGAAGGCGGCTGGGCGTGGTGTTGGCCACTCACCCCCTCGTGTGCTGTGCTGGCTTTCATAGGTGCTCGCTAACAGCACTTGCCCCAACAGTCTGTTAAGGCTATACAGGGGATATTTGGTGCTGGTGTTGCTGGTGGTGCTGCTCTTGGAGCCATACCTGGTATGAAAGGTGCTCACAAACAGTACTTGACCCAAGCTGTCTTTTTGGCTAATTGGCAATTGTTCTCTGTTTTATTTGAGTGTATGTGTGCACACGTGTGTGTGTGCGTCTACGTATTTAAATGCGATATGTGTATGTGTACAGTGTTGTATACCTGTGTGTGCGTGTGTTGACCCAGCATTAAATGAGCGCATGGTGTGTGAACATCAACACTGGGGAGACAAAGGTGGCCGGGCGTATTACTGTCAACCCACCTCTCTGTCAGACTTCATACGTGCTGGATAACAGCACTTGGCCCAACATACTTTAAATGGTTTACGTGGAAGCTTTGATTTAAAGCTTTCGTGACTGCAGTAATTCATATTCTAAGCGCTTTCGGTAAAGTCACGTTTTATATATATTTTATTATTTTATTGTTTCCCTTCAACGTGACTTTACCGAAAGAGCTAAGAATGTGGAAGCTTTGTCTTTTTGTCTGTGTGGGAGGCGGTGGCTTGGTGGATAGTGCGTTGCACTGTGAACCCGGAAACTTTATTGCTGGCTGTGGCTGTAATGTCAGCTGCGAGTGATTTCGGAAACGGACCTGGGACTCCCTTAGGTTGACTTGGCCTGAAATTAGTGTAAACATCTGTACTGGGAAGATTAATACAGCAGGGCGTGGTTCCGAGCGCATCACCCACTCCTGTACTTTGCCAGCCTTAATAGGTGCTCTCTAATAACACTTGCCCCAACATTTTGTTAAAGCCTCGATTGGGGATGTGTTGGTGGAGTTGCGGTGCAGTGTTTAGCGCACGAGGTTATGAACCCAGCGACATTAGTTCTATTCCCGGCCACGGCAATTATCAGCGGAGAATAACTCAACTGGCCCTGTACCTCACCTGGAGCGACTCAGGCTTACATGAATACTTTGTGGTGTGTATTTATGTGCTACGGTTGGACTAACCCTCGCCATAGGAATGTGGATTTTCCACTACGAGCTGTGCAGGGTTGTAACAGGAGATCGCACCAGTGCCTCGATAATTTGATAATTTGAGCGGTTAATCACCGTGATGATTTTTTGACTTTTGTACTTGTGAGCTTGTGTGTGTGTGGGGAGCGGTGGCACAGTCGTTGGCACACTGCACCATGAACTTGGTGATCTGAGTTCAATTTCTCCTCATGACCCATAATAGTGGCACATATTTCATCCAGTCTTGGCCATCCACCCCCTCTTGTGCCATTCCGGCATTCATAGGTATTGGCCAACAGCATTTGCCCGAACAGTCTGTTCAAGGCTATACAGGGGATCTTTGTCTTTGTCGCGAGCATGTTATGTGTGGAGTGATGGCTTGTGCTGTCTGCGTGTGTGCTTATGCCACTGTGTGGGTGTTGCGCATGTGTGTACGTGTCTCGTGTTGCGTGTCTCTCTTTCAGTTTGTGGGCTCTCTGTTGTCAGTTTATGGGTCTGTTTGGTTTTATGGTTCTCTCTGTGTGAGTCTATAGGGCCCTGTACGACTCTGTAGGTCTCTGTAGAGTCTATTTAATGCCTGATGGTGCAGAGAGACCATCAGGGTAGAGCTTGGAGGTAGCCTTGCTTCCCATGTGCTGTGCAGCAGCTGTAGCATCTGGCGGGGAGGGTGCAAACGCGGTGGTCATGACGAGGTGCCGCGGCGGTCACGACGAGGTGCGGCGGTGGTGGCACCTCATTGGGGGATCTTTGTTTTTCTCGTGCTGACGAGTGTTTGTTCATGACCGCGCGTGTGCGCTGCAGGGAGCGACGCGCGTAGCTGCCTGCACAGCAGCACGGGGGAGTACGGCAGCGAGGCGCCTCCCGTGAACGGTGCCGGCGACGTCGGGGCCTACTGGTCCTACTCCGGTGAGGCACTCCCCCCTGCCCCCCTTTCTCATGTGAGCCCATTGTCCCCTGCCCCCCCCCACTGGACCCACGCACCACCAGGCAGCACACAGCACACAATGAAGTTTGAGGTCGATCAGAGACACTGCTGGGAATGAAAGTGAAGCGCTCAGCTTGGCGGAGGGGACGTATGCCCGTCTGTGTGTGCGTGCTACTCGCTAACAGCACTTGTCCCAATAGTCTGTTAAGGCGACACGGGGGATCTTTGCCTTTTCTTTGTGTGCACGTGTATGCGTGCGTGTGTCGGCGAGCCTTTGGCACTTCACGTGGCCTCAAGGTGCACCTAGCCTGGCGATGTCACCACCATTTAGTGGAAAACTGAAATTGTTGTTGTGCGTGTGGAGAGACGAAGGGCGAGCAGATTAGGGGTGGAGACTCAGCCGGCCGATCGCAAGTGTCTCTACCGTAACGCTTGCCAGCTAGCCAGCCGATCGCCAGTGTCCTCACCGTAATGCTCACCAACTAGCAGGCCGATCGCTCGTGTCCTCACCGTAACGCTCACCAACTTGCCGGCCGATCACTAGCTGGGTGTGTGGGGGCCCACAGTGAACGTGGTGGGTGTGGGGGTCCCATAGTAGGGTCTGGCGAGTGACTGGGGGGCCTCGGTGGACATGTTGTGGTGTGGGGCCCACACGAGGACCCTGGATAAATCTCGTGAGGTGCGACTGCGTCCCAGGTTTCTCGAGCGGAAGCTGCTGCCGCCGCCACCACTCCCCCCCCACTGCCCCCCCCACCTTCCGTGCCGCCTCTTTGCAGACCGTGAAGAAGCGCTGACACGACACCAATTAGAGGTCTGTGTTTGCCGATCGGGCGATCGTTATCGAGCTGATCCGGGGAGCCGGAGCCGCCACCTCGTGCTACGGTGGTGAGGGTGATGGAGGCGGTGAGGGTGGTGGTGGTGGCAGGTAGAGCGGTGAGGGTGGTGGAGGCGGGGGAGCGGGTGGTGTGTGTATGGCGAGCGGGTCTGAAGCGGTTAGCGCGCTGCGCTACGAATCCAACGACCCGAGTTCCATTCCCACTCACAGCCAACACCGTTGACGATTATATGAACCGGTCCTGGGCCTCCCCTAGGTCGACTCAGCCTCAATTGAGTACCGAGTGCGATGTGTAACCATCGCCACTGGGGATGCAAAGGCGGCCAGGGGTGGTGCTGTCCACCCATGCCCTTTATGTGCCGTTCCGGCCTTCATAGATGCTCACGAACAACACTTGCCCCAACAGTCTGTTAAGGCTATATTGGGTGATCTTTGTTTTAGCACAGGACAGGTAAAACGAAGAAAATTGTCACAGTAGGGAGCACAGTTGGTGCATCTGCCAGTCATCTCAGGCAGTCAAACTATGGAACCTGGGTCTGTCCTGTGACCTGACAGCAGTGAGCCTTCGACACTGCACGTGGCGTCAAATTGCACCTAGCCTGGCACAAGCGCCGTGGTGATGTCACCGCAACTTAGTGGTGAATGGCAGTTGTTGTCATTGGAGACTTTCTCTCTGATTGCCAAGTCAGGGTCCCATCACTGCCCCTGTGTACGCCGTGTGTGCGTGTCTCACACGGAGCCGTTAACGCGCTGCTCTAAGGACCTGGCGCCCCGAGTTCGATTCCCGCTCACGGCCGACACCAGTGACGAATGTCTGAACCGATCCTGGGCCTCGCCTAGGTCGGCTCAGATATAAATGAGCACCTGGTGTGCTGTGCACCACCCGCTCGCGCGCCTTGCCGGCCGTCATCGGTACGCGCCCAGAGCAATTGCCCCACCGGCATGCGTGGGCTCCTCGGGGGATCTTTTTCTTTTGTGCCACGTGGCACGTGGTGGCGGCGGCGTGATGAATGGCGGTGCGCCGCTCGCCGTGCCGAGGTCCGTCTTGTCGTTCCCGGCGGCAACGGATTAAACTGCGGGGGAGGGGGTGGAAGGCGGGGGGGTGAGGGGTGTAGTGGGGGTCACTGGGTGCAGGCGTAGCTCCCACCCACGCCGTTACTCTATCATACGTCTGTATAACCGGTAACTGCACGAAAACAAAACGGTAAAAACGGTTACCACTGCTGCACGAAGAGCAATTGTCGGGTGTGTTGGTTACCGTCGCTCGGAGCTTGCACCGCAGAGGGTGCCGGTTCGAGTCCATCTCTCGGCGCGGGAGCTGAAACAATGGGGCTAAATGTCTTAAACGGGTTGCGTTCATTATTGTTGTAATTCCACTGCAATCGGTTACCGGTGTCCTATTCTGGAATCGGTTACCGGATCCTGACTTCTAGAACCGGTGACCGATTCCAGATTACGGAATTAGTGACTGTTTCCGGAATTTGGTTATTAAAATTCCGATTCTTACTTAGGCCCTTCCCTCCTATTAGCCTCTCCATAGCCCTAATCCAGCCCGGTGTGCAACGTCGTCACGTCCCACCGTCGTCGCATCCTACCGTCGTCGCGTCCCACCGTCGTCACGTCCCACCGTCGTCACGTCCCACCATTGTCACGTCCCACCGTCGCCACGTCCCACGGTCGCCACGTCCCACCGTCGCCACGTCCCACCATCGTCACGTCCCACTGTCGTCACATCCCACCATCGTCACATCCCACCATCGTCACGTCCCACCGTCGCCACGTCCCACCATCGTCACGTCCCACAGTCATCACGTCCCACCATCGTCACATCCCACCGTCGTCACGTCCCACCGTCGCCACGTTCCACCATCGTCACGTCCCACAGTCATCACGTCCCACCATCGTCACGTCCCACCATCGTCACGTCCCACCATCGTCACATCCCACCGTCGTCACATCCCACCGTCGCCACGTCCCACCGTCGTCACGTCCCACCGTCGTCACGTCCCACCGTCGTCACATCCCACCATCGTCACATCCCACCATCGTCACATCCCACCATCGTCACATCCCACCGTCGTCACATCCCACCATCGTCACGTCCCACCGTCGTCACGTCCCACCGTCGTCGCGTCCCACCATCGTCACGTCCCACCGTCGTCGCGTCCCACTGTCGTCGCGTCCCACCATCGTCGCGTCCCACCGTCGTCGCGTCCCACCATCGTCACGTCCCACCGTCGTCACGTCCCACCGTCACCGCGTCACGTCCCACCGTCGTCACGTCCCACCGTCGCCGCGTCCCACCGTCGTCACGTCCCACCATCGTCACGTCCCACAGTCATCACGTCCCACCATCGTCACGTCCCACCATCGTCACATCCCACCGTCGTCACGTCCCACCATCGTCACATCCCACCGTCGTTACGTCCCACCGTTGCCACGTCCCACCGTCGCCACGTCCCACAGTCATCACGTCCCACCATCGTCACGTCCCACCGTCGTCGCGTCCCACCGTCGTCGCGTCCCACCGTCGCCACGTCCCACCATCGTCACGTCCCACCATCGTCACGTCCCAATATCGTCACATCCCACCGTCGTCACATCCCACCGTCGCCACGTCCCACCGTCGTCACGTCCCACCGTCGTCACGTCCCACCGTCGTCACATCCCACCATCGTCACATCCCACCGTCGTCACATCCTACCGTCGTCACGTCCCACCGTCGTCACGTCCCACCGTCGTCGCGTCCCACCGTCGTCGCGTCCCACCGTCGTCACGTCCCACCGTCGCCGCGTCCCACCGTCGTCACGTCCCACCGTCGTCGCGTCCCACCGTCGTCACATCCCACCGTCGTCGCGTCCCACTGTCGTCGAGTCCCACCATCGTCGCGTCCCACCGTCGTCGCGTCCCACCATCGTCACGTCCCACCGTCGTCACGTCCCACCGTCGCCGCGTCATGTCCCACCGTCGTCACGTCCCACCGTCGTCACATCCCACCGTCGTCACGTCCCACCGTCGTCACGTCCCACCGTCGTCACGTCCCACCGTCGCCGCGTCACACTGTCGCCGCGTCACGTCCCACCATCGTCACGTCCCACCGTCGTCACGTCCCACCGTCGCCGCGTCCCACTGTCGCTGCGTCACGTCCCACCATCGTCACGTCCCACCGTCGTCACGTCCTACCGTCGCCGCGTCCCACTGTCGCCGCGTCACGTCCCACCGTCGCCACGTCCCACCGTCGTCACGTCCCACCGTCGGTCGACGCCCTGCTCACAGCTCTGCCGTGTGGTGTTTTGCGCGCCAAAACACCACACTAAGTCACGTGCGTGTTTTATCTCGTGCACATCCGCTGACTTGCAAAGCACAGGCGAAGCAGTTTTTTTCCCTCCTCTCTGCGATTTTGGTCCAGTGTTACCTACCTGTGCGCGATGGTGCAACAATGATTCTCTCTCTACGTTGTTCCCAGTCCCCCAGCGGGTCGGACGGGCGATGTTGTACGTTAGCGCGGTAATGCCGTCGTTAACGCATCCAGACGAGAAGCCTCAATGATGAGTCTTCAAGACACGTTTTAAGGGAGGGTCCTGTACGGGCGATGTGTTGCCAGTTAGTTTTTATGGAGCGCCTGCCTGGCTTGGCATGAGATGAAACCGAAGAACCCTGGCCCCCAGTGGGTTTGGGAGTGTCACAAATCTCTGCGTGATCCATGAACCCTAGCCTCCTCCATGTGCTATCTCTGGAGGGACACCTGGTGGCTGGAGGTGCAAGGGGGGTTGAGAAGCACTCCGGCAGGACACACGTCCCTCCTCACCACCCCTCACTCGTCTCCTCTCCCTCTCGTCTCCCGCACTCTCCATCTCTGAGCACACCTCCCTCCCCCTCTCCCTCACTCATCACTTGCTCCTATCTGTCTCTTCCCTCCACTTTCGCCTCTGCCCCCCCCTCTCCCTTTATCTCACTCTTATCTTATTTGTGCTCCCCACCTCCCTCCGCTCCAGGGTCTGTCTGGCCCCACCATCTTGCTCCCTACTACTCCTCCCTCCCCTCCTACTCCCACTACCTCCGCACCTTTGCCGATTGCTGATAAGGTGATTCCGCGGGCCCACGTGTGTGTGTCTGTGTGTTGGCTGCGGGGAGTGTTGGCGTAGT